CCTACCGCCAGGTGCCCTAGTTAGAATGGCCGAATGGGGTAGCATCTTTTATTGATTTTCTAAGGCACCTATATCGTTACAAGGGTCCAGACACAATCTTGCTAGTTTTTGATGGAGCTGCTAATCACCTTGACATTTCCATAACCAAGGTTGCAGACGAGTTGTTCTGCTTGCCATCTAACACCACGCCTTTAGATAAAGCGGTTTATAGGTTCTTTGAACATCACTAAGACCAAGAATTTCTCAGCTTTTGGGAGGCAAATTATATCTAAAGTTTGGCCCAGATGCATGACCCCAGCGGTTTTCGAGCGACAGGCTTGTATTCACTTGATCCTATTGTAATTCGTGAATCAGCTTTTGCAAACAACGTTAATGCTAATAATGTTAACAACGATGCTGAGTCCAATAATTGTAACGATAATATTATTGATATTAATATGCAATCCAGGGAAAATTCAAACGACTCTGAAGATGACATTCCACTTAGTATGTTAAAAAATATCTAAGGAAAAGTCTCTAATAAAATCCAAAACAATGAAAGGTATAAAACACCTGTGAAGACTGATAATACGATCTCAGATAAGACACAGACACAAGAAGAAAGTGAATATCTTAATAAGTCTTTCAAGGAATTTCTTTCTACACCGGAACAATACAAATTGAAAGAAAATAAGAGTTTAAAAAGAAAAAATGAAAAACAATTCGTAGCGTCATCAGCCAGTGTGTCGTTAAGAAAGCGCACGGAAAATGATATCCAAGAAAATGACTCTAGATATTGTTATAAAAATGCTTTTATTTTTTTAGTTTATTTAGTTCGAAAAAATATGTTTTATGCAAACGTGGCATTTTAGTATTTATAACTGTTTATAGAAAAAATAACTAAATGTACATTACCCATTTTAGCCTTGCAATTTGGAAATTTTTTGCGGGCTTTATTAATTTTTCACATGCCTTTAAGACTGAACGTGTACCTGCAGTTTCATTTATGAGACCCTGAATTAAGATAATATTTGTATTTCGTTATTTGTTTTTGTCTGTGTTTGCCAAATAAAGTAATTTCTTATTAACTGGGTCTTATTTGCCGAAGGTACCTTATATAAATTCGTCTGACTAGATCGAGGCCCATATTTATTTTTATAAACTCAGCAAATTGAAAGATATAGGACAGGAAATTTATATACTCCAGTCAGAACAGAGTAGCTTCGGATATGCACTCCTAAAAACTAAATGAAAATTCTATTTTGCACGGGTTTATGCAACGTGGAAAAGGTCATCTAGAAACTTGGTTCCGTGGCGAATTTATACGGACGGACAAAATAAAACGCATCAAATATAGCAAAAAAGGGCATCATCCGATGACTACATCGGAAAAAATATCTTCCTCCGAGTTTGATTTATGCATGTGGATAACAACCGGAAGAATATTAGATGCATCGATCAACTTTTCCGTTTCTCAAGCCTACCTTTAGTTCTTTTATTTTCCCGGTGAAACCTGAAACGAAGTACAGCATCAGATATTACGGGATTGATGGAACCAATTTTGACGTCATAATACCATTTTCAATCTGACCAAAGCATCTCTATCGCATTAAATTGGCAATGATAAGGCGGAAGCCGCAAGATGCCGCGATTATGCTGACTTGTCCATTCTTAAAAAAATAAATTTTTGATATAATTTCATTTTCAAAGGAAGATACTTAGGAACTACCTATGCAGTTTTTCTGGCAAGTGTTGATTCACAAACATCCATAGCTGGCCTTTCATTAAACTTGGACGAAAATAAATATTCCTTTTTTGATTCCTACTTTGATTAGGTATTTTCTTAGGTCATTGTCCATTATTATTAATAAAGTTTCACTAAAATTGGGCGACTGGACCACCTTTTAAAGGAAAAAAGTTATTTTTTTCGAAAATCATATTAGTATTGTGGAAATGAGACTTTCCGTGCGTACATAACGGAAACTGCTATCTCTGTTCATATTTTAAAAAAAGTCTTCTTTTCCTATAAAAAAGAAATCTAAATCAACTTTCAAAATTTTTAGTGTTCATTGAATCCGATTTGAAGCCCGATTTGAAAATACGACCGGCATACTCCACAAAACCATTAATTATTATAATTATTTATTAATTATATATTATTATTAAAATTATATTTTTTCCGAACTGTTTCTAGACGCTCCTTTACTAAATATTAAAGTCTCGTCCAAAAAAAAAGCATTATTTTGATTTTTCATATATTTTCTTTCTTTCAACAAGAATTTATACGGGTATTTATTATCTTAAACCTCGAATATCTCAAAAAATAAGTAAAATTTAAATATTAGATAAATTACAATCCTACCTTATTTTGTGTCCTAGAATTGATATGTGAATAAAAATATAGTGTATTCCATTTGAAAGTCTTGAGATTTTGTTAATGGAATTCGCCAAAACGGCACCACCTATTTGAGATAAACTGTATAAACTGAAGTGCAACTGTTAAACTGATTGAGCAGTGCATCATCTCCTTAGTCTGTGGTTAAATTTAAATCAAACTGTGCAAAATTCGAATAGGAATTTCTTAAGAAAGTGACCTTTACTTTAACCATACATATACACATATACAGGGTGTTCCATGTAAAATTATAATATTTTAAATCTTCAGGAGAGTCCAAGAAACTTTTGTACGAAACTTTTTTTCATATCGTCCAGATCGTATAGTGGAGCCTTTTATTTGCCACACGGTGTACGGTGTTTAAGGGTTAAAAATTATTATTAACCTTAACCGCGTGCCAGGTCTTTGCCTTTTAATCATCCGAAACAATGTTCGTGCCCCTCCTTTAGTTCATCCCCCGTGAAATAACATAAGAAGGTGCAGAGTAAAATGCTAGGCAGTTTCAAATAAGCTCTGAAGAAGTTAAACAGGATAATTGGCGAAACGTCGTCAAGTTCGATTCAACAATAACCGACGTAGGAGGAATTCGGAAGTTTGGTAAATAGTGTATTTGATACACTTTTTTTCATTTATTAAACTAATTATTATAATTTTTTTATGTAGATTCACATACTTAAACCGTCGCATATCATTAAGGAACACCCTGATCTATTGAGTGTTAGCGTACTAGTTAAATTAATAAATGCCAAGTACAACTGCTACTCCCATGTAATATAATCGTAATAGTTAGTGACGGCTGCCTTGTATGGATCAGATAGACATTTTGGGCGGAACAACATCTGTTGAAGTATAAGTAGAAGCAAGATGAACAATCTATAAACATCATAAATCGTACGGACTATATAACTCTACAGTTTTCTGAAATAGCCTATAGAATAGTAAGACAACTACCAGTACGGAGTTGGGTGAAATGAACCAAAAATCTGTTTGAATGCTAATCCTAACTTAACAGCCCAAGATATTGTTATTTTTCTTTTCTATGCCGGACCGAATTGCTCATATTTATTTATTTTCTTTTTCTCGTTCATATTTTGATTTTGTATTGTTATTGTTATTAACTAAGCTTTGCCTAATATTATGTATTTATATTTGATTCTTGTATTGTGGGTTTAGCCTGTTTCTGTCCTAAGAGTAAATAAATAAATAAAAAGAATGCAATTGAAGAACCTGTGAAAATGGAAATTAAAAATATTCAATACTTTTCGCACAAATAATTTGTTAATAGCTTTTCCAACGACGATGAATGTGTTAGCAAATCAAAAGTTCTAGGCATTTTCTGGTAACATCCCTAAACAAAACTATAAATCATCGATTTTATATTTGTTAAATCGTTTTTCACATTTGTTTGTTATCTAAAATACGATCGCAATGCCGACAACTGGATGTGACGACATCTTTTTTACGTAATAAAAAAAAACTCGATACGATCAATAGAGAAAACAATTAGAAATTATTTTGATAGGAATTTATGACAGTAGACTAGGACGCTTTAAGGGGTGGTTTTTCACCCGCAGTTACTTACCCTTGAAAGGTACTTTTTTTATTTATTTTGTTTAAGTAATTAAAATATGAAAAACGGAAAGTGGTAAACCGGAATGCTCAGGTCAATATCGTTCAAGTCGCTAACTTACGTGATACATCCAAATCTACTGTTAATTGCACCACCAGAAAACACAAACATTATCCCTTCCACCTGGAACTACACCAAAAACTGCTAGGGCGTATAATGTATTCAAATGAAGCTAATTTTCTCAGTAATGGTGAAATTAATCGTCATAACATGCATTATGATTGAACAGTTGAAAACCCAGAAAATTGTCCTTTTCCAGAGTAAATTATTAATCGCAAATCAAAATTCGTAAAAAATATGCCTTATTGGTTTAAACAGTATTATAGACGGCATCGAGAGTTACAATTTTTGTATTTACGGTTTTCGTCTATCCCATACGCTGCACTAGATATTTGAAAAAATCCATATGAAAATCGCTATTTCTCGTACAAGTCTAACGTCCTGATGTCATTTACTATTGCGGTGTAAGAACTGTTTTCTTGCAAATCATTTTCTCTATTAGAAAAATTCATAGACCAGGAAATGTGGGACATCGAGGGCTATAATCCAATTCGAACAATTTTTTAATTTTATACAAAGTGTGAATATTTCTGCTTTTCTGAGTAAATTATTGGTCGTAAATGAGCAACATCAAAAGATGGGATAATTTGGTTTAAAAAGTATCGTAAACTGTTTCGAGAGCTACAATTTTATATTTACAGTTTTCTTTCATCCTACAGGGTGCTCGATATATTCTATTATATTTACCAAAGTTTGCCTTGATTTTGAATTTCGGCGACCCTAAAACGCACTTTATACAGAGTGTGCACGTAAAAAGATAACATTCTCTTTACGAAAATTTCATGTTGATCGACGATTCATTTTTCCTCTTTCATTTTTCTTTTATATTGTTATTGTTGTTAACTAAACCTTAGGAACTTATATTTGGATTCCTAAGAAGGTTCAACCTGTTTGTGTCGCAAAGAGCAAGCAAATATATAAAGAAATAAATTTCAGGAGGAATTTCCTTGTCCATTTCCGGCGGCCTCCTCGTCTGCCACGTCCTGGGCACATTCCTCCACTGGCAGACCACCGCCCTCATCTGCAGCCTCGTGCCCCTCTTGGCCTGCGTCATCATGCTGCTGGCACCCGAATCCCCCGCCTGGCTCGCCAAAAAGGGCAAGACGGAAAAAGCGGAAAAGTCGTTCCGGTGGTTCAGGGGCGAGTCCGACGAAGCCGAGAAGGAGCTCGCCGTCATGCTCACCAGACAAAATCAAACGGACGACCCTCACTCCCCCAAGGACCTCGCTTCGAAATTCAAAGTCCTCCTGCGGCCGGAATGTCTCAAGCCACTCGGCATCGTCATCGTGTTCTTCATCCTCAGCCAGTGGGCGGGTCCGAACGCCATCAACTACTACTCGGTGACCATCATGAAGCAAACTTTAGGCGACGGCGTCGACGAGTACCTCGCGACGATCATCATCGACGTCATACGCGTCATAGTGTCCGTAGTCGGTTGCGTGGTTATGAGAAAGTACAAGAGGCGCCCTCTGGCGATGGTAAGCGGTTTCGGGACGTTCCTTTCGTTGTTCCTGCTCAGCGGGTTCACCTACGGCAGCAAAGTCGACCTCGAGCACTCGCAGATCTTGTCTTACGTCTCCGTAGCCGCCGTCGTAGCTTACATCGTGTTTATCACGGTCGGTTTCGTAGCCATGCAGTGGTCGCTCGTAGGGGAACTCCTACCCCTGACCGGTAGGAGCACGGCTAGCGGCGTGGCCTCGTTCGTGGCTTTCTTCACGACCTTCACCGTCGTCAAGGTCACGCCCGCCATGTTCAACAGTTTGAAGCCCGAGGGCACTTTTCTGTTGTTCGGCGTGATGGCCCTTTTGAGTACTGTGTTTAACTACTTCTGCTTACCGGAGACCAAGGGGAAGACGCTGGACGAGATCGAGGACTATTTCAAGGGCAAAAAAGAGACGGAGTTGAAGGAGTTTCCGGTGAAAACGTGACCTGTGATAAGAGCTGGAACGTTCGCTTTGTAAATATCTAGGTAGATTAATGATAATTATTAAACTGTTGTTAGTGTTAGTTTTATTTCAATAGTCAACAACCAACAAAACTACAGCCTCTTTAGTAAAATATACATTGTAATAACGAAATCATAAGTACCCGTTATCTTACAAAGGTTGATATTTTTATTGAAGGTAAAGGTAAAGTGCACTGATTCCTGATTACGAAATAATTTTAGACTTCCATTTGCGAATAATACTGATTTTTGGGACTAAACAAAGTTTGCCGAAGGTGTCCGTGTCCGTCAAATTTACATTACCGATGGTTCGGGCAGGACCGAAATGAGAAATTAAAAAAATGCTACATACAGTAGTGGAAAAAAGAATGGAAAGAAATGGTTGATATGTTTTTTGCGATTTATAAGCAACCAATCTCAACCGCAACTACTCAAATCAACTACACACACATAATAAAATAGTAAAAACAAAATCAATATCCATATATAGAAAACTTACAAAAAAGCCACATTTTCGGACATGTTAGTTTAAACTTAAATACATAAAAAACAAAGAAAAACGTAGTTTTTAGACCACTAAATAAATATAAATAGAAATACTTTGGTAAAAATAAAACAAAATCCAATCTAATTCTAAAGACTTTTTGGCTCGGAATCGGCCTCGGCGGATATACAGGGTGCGGCAAAAAGGTAGGCAGGATTTCAAATAGTGGTTGTTCGGTTTGTAAAACCGGCAACACTGTGTACGCACTCGCGTTAGGCAGACAAAAGTATGCAATTTTCAGTTATCGACATGGCTTGGAGCGGAGTGCATTGTGCTTTCGTTGTCGAGGAGTTTATTGGAAATGGGAAATCTGTAATAGCGACGCAGCGCGCCTTTCGTAATCAGTTTGATGTTGGTCGGCATGGCGCGGTTCCGGATGGAAGAGCAATTCGTGGGTAGGTTTTACACTTCAGGGAAACAGGTTCTGCGCTTAACCAAAAATCTAATGGCCTACCAAGGACAGTAAGAACACCGGAAAATGTGAATGCAGTAAGAGTTTCCGTACAACAGTCTCCAACGCGTTCAACTGTAAGCATGCAGCTGCTTTGGGAATTCCCGATAGAAGTGTTCGAAGAATTTTACACAACTCACTCCAAATGCATCCGTACAAAATGATGGTAGTGCAGGAATTAAGCGTACAAATTTATGCCGGGATATTCTTCAAAACATTCCCAGAGGTGCTGTATTCATGTCTAGCGATGAAGCTCACTTTCACCTCTCGGGTACCGTAAATAAGCAAAATTTCCGTTATTGGTCAGCAAATAGTTCACAGGAACTTCATAAGCGACCTCTTCACAGTCCAAAAGTCACCGTCTGGTGTGCAATCTCGGAGTTCGGCGTGTGGGGTCTTTACTTTTTCGAAGAAGACGGAATAACGGTAACCGTCAACGGAGATCGATATTTTAATATGCTTAACAATTTTCTGCGTCCAAAAGTATTCACTTTTTTTGAACAACGATCGAATAGAACATCTTTGGTTCCAGCAGGACGGTGCTACATCGCACACAACGCGTCGTTCACTAAATCTTCTTCAAGAAATGTTCCTAAACAAAGTGGTGTCTTTACGAGGTGATCTTGGCTGGCCACCACGTTCGCCTGATTTGTCGCCTTGCGACTTTTTTCTTTGGAGTTACCTGAAAGCGAGAGTTTTCGCACGTCTTCCGCGAACTTTGGAAGAATTAAAGGCAGCCATAAGACAAGAAATTGCCTCAATTCCCCAAGAAATGATCCATCGGGTAATGATGCGCTTCCGCGAGAAACTGTAAGAGTGCATCGACAATAATGGCCGTCATTTAAAAGACATTTTAAAAAATAACGTTCCTAAATGGCATAAAATGTACATTTCAAAAAGAATTTTTAAAAAATGTTTTCTTTATGTAGTTTGGTTTTTATTAACATCCCAAATAGTACCTATCATTTTGCCACACCCTGTATCTTCGTCGGTTGTCATATATGGAACTTCACTTTCAACTTCCGTAACGGTTCCCATTTCGTCTTCGACCGTATTATCAATAATGTCTACCACTTTATTTTTATTTTCACTAATTAAAGGACCTAATTTGTTGGCACACCAGAAGGACCTGCTAATTATGGTGTTGTAATCACTTCATTTCGTTATTTGTAGTCGTTATGCTCTGCTCTTAGGTTTGTGAGGCGATTACGTATTTTATTGTGAATCGAACTAGAAGCGCTGAACTAACTGGAGCAGATAATATATACACCGCGCCATCCACAAATTCCCTTCCACCATAGTAAAGGAGACACTAAAGAAGAGGACAGCCATACGATCCTAGCTAGATCCTTTGACACTAACCGTTCAATATTCATGTCGGCTGAGACTTTATATACTCAACTCCATTGCATCTACGTTTTCATCGGAACTTAGTTTGCAACCCTGAGAAACACGATCTAACAGCGCTAACCAAACGTATTCATTGCCATTAATTTTGTTTCTTTCATTTTTTGTCTAATATTGATTCTGCTAATCATTTAACAAGATTACTTTGCAGTTCAGTAGTAGCATAATGTATGAACATATGCACGTATGAAGTATGAAGTTACTTTCAAAATTTTTAATTAAAATAAGTTGTTTGATATAAATATTCTGGGGTTTATTCGCCACGGTTGCTAGAAATTCTTGCGTTTCATTGGATTGCGAATCTAAAAGTGTTGTAGACAAACATTTGCGGCTAAGAAGCTGGTATGAAGGTCTCAGTTTTCTCATGCACTCAATCCATAATGAATGGTCCACTGACAAAAATCGCTTTAGCTAAACTATTGTCTATTTACTCCTGAGTGCCCACTTACGTTTTCGGATCCATGAAAAACTCGTGCAGGCATGATTGTGGTATTTCGAGCTTGAGTAACACCGGCAATGTCAACATTAATAGTATTAGCAGTTTTTTTTTCTGAGAGCCTACATAACCCGCAAAGTGTTGAACTCCATGTTCTGAGTACGCTTTGGTTGTCATTTTTATGTCATTAATTATCCACATTAAGAGTGTGTCCGCGCAGAGGAAGTCGCGGAAACCTGGTTCAACTGCAACAATCAAGTCCCAATTAATCTATTGGGCGTCACACTGGATAGATCGTTGACATGGGAATCACATATATCGAACTAATTTGTAACAGATTGCGATTGCGAACGATCATGCTGAGGATGGCTTATTTTGGCTTATTTCATTCTTGACTGTCGTACGCAGTCATAAACTGTCCATGCAACCAAAGCTTTCCGAATGCAAAATAAAGCTATACGCACAAGTCACCGATCAACACCTCCGGCACATTGTCGTCCTATCTTCAAGAGGCTAAAAATCATGACACTTCCTAGTCTGTACATTCACCGTGCACTGACCCACATCCATAAAAATATACATGGTTTTGAAAGACATTCTGACAGACATGTACACAACACCAGACAGGCAGACCTCATCGTACCATACTATTCCAGACTGACGACCTCGGCAAGAAATAACCCTCGCACTGACTTGTACAATGTTCTTCCTCAACATATCAGAGACTTATCACAGTCTAAATTCTCCAGAGAAATTAGACTGTTTCTTCTGGAGCATGCTTTTTACTCAATTACAGAATACACCCTTTCGGCCAAACACGAATTTTAGATCAACATATGTTTTATTATCTACCTATCGACATTTATGATTTCTGTAAAATTTTAGATTCAATCGTTTTTACACTTTATAATTTATGTATTGTACTTTTGTAGTGTATGCCTATTGTATATTTTGTCATATAGCTTTCACGCATGGAATTTTTCTATTGTTTATACGATTTATTTATCCACAACCACAATTTGTCAGCGTTAATCTTTCTTTTTTATTTTGTACTACTGACGCGCCATTTGTTGTAAAGACTCTTTATGTAAAAAATGGCTAAATAAATCTATTTATCTATCTATCCATCTATTCACAATTTCCACACAGAACTCTTCTTGAGCAGCATACTAACAACATAATACTTACAACAAATTACAGCATCCAAATCGTAATACGCCATAGGAAACAAAAACAAAAAAACACAAGTTAGCCGTTTGGGGGTTCCCCTTGCTCTTGCAGCCAGTGAAGAGTTGCCATTGACACCTTTGTTGATACCTTATTATGATTTTGATGAATTTAATGAAAAACTACCCAATACTCCGAACGGTAAATATCTTTTGGGTAAGTACATGGTATTAATCGGATATTTATAAATTTACCCATCGAGTAAATACCCACTGTTCGACAATATCAACAACCCACGCAGGAGGAAACCAAAAGATTTGTAAATAGTGTTACAGTAACCTGTGGAAGTTACTATGAAAGATTAACAATCCTCAATGTCAATGTCCAAAGAACAATTCTTACCGTAAGGGCACTTACTACTAATCCAAAATGGTTAAAGTATGCATTGTTCAAAATTTTCAAGAAACTAGGCAGGATTAAGTATAGAGAAACCGAAACCGGGATGAACCTCCCTCGAACTTTTTTCAAATTCAAAAACTAACCAATATACCGACCGTTCCGTTTAAAATAAGCAAGATCGGTGCTGTAACTTATAAGAAACAAAAAATATCAACTCCGTCTTTGGAAACCTCAGGTGAAAGCAGTTAGTGTTCAGGACGTTTTTGTTTCGATAGGCTAGAACATCGGTATTTTTTCGATACGCGACTAATTATTTATCCAACGGCGTATGTTTTATGAGTTTTATCGGAAACTTCGAGGGTTCACTTCGGTTTTGACGTGCGAAAACAAATTGAAAATTGAAGAGTCTATTTATAATTTATTCGGTATGTTTTCTTACGGCGCGGAATAACTCAAACATATTTGAAGAGTTTATACGGGTACAGGGCGGACCGACTCTGATTGCCTTAAAAATTTATTTTAAATACTACGCTTATGCCAACTTAATAAAGATATCCGAACGTAGCAGAAATGTCAGGTACCAAGTTGTTGGGTCTTGACAGAGATAAAATAAAATGGCATCTTGAAGGACTGAGGCAATGTTGCCAAGTGCTAAGCATCGCCGCAGTCTTCAAAGAAATAATACATATTAAATAATGTTTTTAAGTATAAAAAGTATATATAAATTATAAATTTTATTCGATATGGGTCAACAAAATGTTATACTACTAGTTCATGAAACACCAGCAAAACGAACCATGTTTTATAAAAAAATTTATATGACTCTTAAAGCCCAAGTGTTTAGAAGTGTGTTATAAGAGCATGCATATCATGCAAACTTCATTGTTTTCATATTTCTAATAAATAAAAAAATATATCAGCCTAAAATGACTCTACATACGAACAGAGAGTTAAAAGCTCCTTAAGCAGAACCTCCGTTCTGGCAGACAAACAGTTAGTTCAGTTCAAGAATATCAGGCGCTCCTTCGGGTAGTCGTGGATGAACCCGTCCAAAGCGTGAAGAACGAAACTATTCTGTCGGAATAGCGTTATGGCTAGTGAGATTTGCACTTTTATCATATGACAACCAAAGAATATTGACGAATATTTAAGTCAGTCAAATGTCCTTTACCACACTCGTTGCTTGATATACTATTGTTTATAATTAACCACACAAACTAAGAGTGCTTTCTTTAGTCTTGTTTTCTTGCCTAAGATCCACTATCCTTATAAAAATCACGCTAGCAATCATTCCTAACCTTCAGAGAGAATGTACTCCCATCTGACGTGACATCGTAAAACCAAGAATATGTAATAGAAGTTTCAGTGGACACACGTTAGATGGTGCCATTAAGGAAATATGAATTATGTATTCAATAGAATATTTCCAAAATCCTGATGAGAGTGTGTTAAACTACTTCCAAATCATACTGTATATTATGTTTGTATAATGTAACTTTCTGGGGTCAGTTTTTTAACTTTCCGTTTTTTTCTCATTCTTTCATTGCTTTAATTTTCATTAGACCCAATAACTTTACAATAATCTGAAATGATGAAAACAATTTCTTGTAGTAGCTTTTTTGAACCTACAAAGGGTTAAAAGTCTACGTTATCTCTTTTATCTTGAAGCATTTATATAATATACACGATATAATTGCTTCAAGTTGAAAAGGCTGTTTTTCTTACAGGCCTCTTAGTCCCCGCTTTGCATTTTCCGTAAAGTGCAAATCACATACGTTATAAGACATACATTTGATTGATTGATTGTTATTGTAAACTTACTGTAACCGTTAATAAAACAGAGAAACAGCGTTTATGGGAAAATTATGTTTCTTGCTGAATATATCAGTATAGGAACGACTCATTTTCTATAACGTTCTTAATAATCCTCCATTATAGTTCTTGCACAAAGTTCAAAATAATCCACAAACCAAAAAGGGGATATTCTAATTTGATCTGAATGAACTAATTCGAACCACGCGAATCAGACAAGCATCACACAAGTAATGCGACATGCGACACAATTCAAAACTGTCTCAAGTGTCACCTCGCGATTGGTGTTTGAACAAAATATAGTCTGATTATTTGGTGGCCTAAAAGCATATTTAGATGGGCAATCCTGGTCGTGACTGTTTTTCGGCTGTCCCTCTGCTATGACTTCCTCGATCGATTGAACAGTAGCTTAAGGTCTCTCGTTTTGAATATTATGCCTTGTTTTGCTACAAGTCTTTTCACTTGGGTCAGTTGGGAAAATAATGTTTTTATTTTTTATCTTAAAAACGAAAATAGAAGAATAAAATATTATGGAAGTATTACTATTATAAAAACACACTCTCTGCATATTTTTTTTTACCCTCGTCATTCTTCTTAATTAAATTTAAGGGTGAACCGTAAATGGGAAGTAAAATAAAACTGGTCGTATGGAGTTGAATTTTGGCTAGCAGGTAGAACGCGTCTAGACGATCATTTTAAAAGAAATATCTTCTTGAATTTCAGGCTACCCAGTTAAATTAAAACTTGTAGGACCAATATATCATTTATCTATGGGTTTTCTATGGTTAGTCCGATTACGTAGGTGACAGATGGTGACCGATGATTAAATTTACGATTATATGTTATAAAAATATTGAAAATATAAAAATCATGGCATATGGGTAGAACAAAACTTTAATTTATAAGGAACTTGCTCATGAAGTAGCCCAATCGCGAATGTTCCCTGGTAATTGCACAAAAGTTTGACGAATTTTTAAATGGAGTCTGATCAGATTAAATCGCCATCGCCGCCTCCGCCGAGCGAGCCACCGCCGAGTCTACCGCCTCCCGTGCCGGCACGACCCCAGAAACTCGCTGAGCCGGCAGAAGAAGTCCATAAGAATGACTGTGCAATTGACGACGACGAAATTTCGCAACACATGACCCAGTCTTACAGCGAGATATCGTTTAAATCGGGTCTTAGTCCCGAAAACGACAACTCCATCGATCTGAACCTCGATTCAATCGAAGTGTCTGAGCATTTCATAAAGCGGCCCGAAACGTTATCTTATGAAGCTGTCAGACCATTGAATCTCGATGGCACAGTTCACAAGGAGGGCAACATGACGCATTTCGTCGCAGAGGATTTAGAAACCAAGATTAAACTATCAAGTCCCGTCTCGAAGAAGAACGACACACCGGGCAACTCCAGAAGCGGCACCCCGAGCTCATTGTACAAACAGATACTCACCTCTCAAATGAGCCAGCTCGATACGACTCTCATTAACGATTTAGAAGTGGAAGCTCAAAGGATGGCTACCTCTGTGGACAGTCTCATAGAGAACTTGAGCGGTATTTTACACTCTATCTCCTCCATTACCGTGGACAATGTAGACGTTTACAAAAGTGCCGTGCTGAAAATGTCAGATGCGATGGACTCTAACATTAAGAGCATGTATACTATGATGGCGAAAGTCGAGGAGGTCACTCAGCTTATGAAAAACATGGAAACTATGTCTGTTAAACTTAAAGAAATTAGGAAATTGGTCGATTTGTTCGAAAGCTTTTTGTAGGATTTGAGGTAATTAGGACCCTTGGAAGTTGAAAGGTTTGTGTTAACCCACTAGTCATTTTTCTATTTTATTTTGAATCATTAAAGAAGCATTCTTTTAACAAATTTATTTAAACTATTTCATAATCACAATGGCAATTAGTTTCTTGCTAATAAATGATTCTGCCTGTACCAGTCAACACTTTCCTTAATAGCCCGCGAGAATGGTGTGAATTGAAAGTCGGGAAGGTAACATCTAAGTTTCTTATTGCTTGCGGTTTTCTTGTACTGCCCGTCCGCTTTGGTTTCATCAAAAACTATGCTTCCTTTGAAGTCGAACGATTTCACCAACTCCTCGGCGACCTTTTTAATTGAAACTTCACACTCTTCATCGACTAAAATTTAAAACCCATCAGACTTTCCGATCCATCTAATTACTAACGTTACCTGACAAAATTATAGGTTCAACTTCGTCATACTCTCTCAGAACCCAAACAAAAAGTCGAGCCAAATCGAGAGAATATATAAACTGCCTTAGAGGTTTCCCAGTACCCATTACTAAGAAGGTGTCTCCACCATTGTCGATGGTATCAAATAATTTTCTGATGAGACCAGGAATTACGTGACTAGACTCTGGGTTGTAATTATCGTGAGGGCCAAATACGTTGCAGGGAACCACAGAAGTGAATAAGCACCCGTACTGTTCATGGTACGCTTTATTGGCCACATCGATCATCCTTTTGGCATAGCTGTAGCCAAAATTGGAGGGGTGCGGTGGCCCATTGTGAATCTACAGCAATTCTAAAGTGATTTTTAAAAAAATGCACCTTATAAATTTACCAAACCATGCTTTCATCTATGGGGTATGTCGTTTTATCTGGAAATATGCAGGTGGACAGACAGGACACCACTTTCCTGACTCCTGTCTCGTAACTCATTTGAAGGACATTGTCATTCATGTGCAGATTGTTTCTCTACAATGATTTAAAAATTTCACATATAAAGAGAATCAATGGAAACCTAGCCCCATGACTCAGAAACTAAAAATGGTATAAAAATAAGTTAAATAGAAAAGTTTCATCTAGATTTTTTAATTTTTCTTATATAGAAGGGGTTCTGTTCATCTGGCGTGTGTAGGACCTAAAATCATTAACCAATAAAGCAGCTTTAGTTATTTAATTTTAAATGGAACCTCTTTTCTATGGTTCGTAGTTTCTGAATTAACAATCTCCAAGCTATGTTATGCCCAAAAATTTATATAGCATGATAATTTACATGCTCTCTCCTTAATAGATCTTGTTTACTTATTGCTAATTAAATGTTATCAAGATAGACAGTAGTATAGTCAGTACCAAATTATTCAAAAAAAAATTAAGATTAGTTTTTTTAAATTAATTAGTTTCAATGTTAAAAGTTTGAAAAGACTTATCTATGCACAATCCCTGATTTTTGGCTTCAACATACTATACAAGATTAACATTATTTAGCACAATATTAAATAACCATTTTTGAAAACAATTGTCTGCGTTTTGGCCGGATTTATTTCAAACCTTAAAATAAGCAAAGTCGCATTAAAAAGAATACTGCTTACCAGAAAATCCAAGTTATGGGACATGTTGTGGAACAATCCGCCCACCATCGCAGCCAAATGAATAACATGGGTGGGCTTGTATTTTTCGAAGAGTCGCCGCGTGGAATCGAGATCACTAAGAAAAAAATCGGTCAACGGGGACGTAATTGACGTACGTGAATGGTTACCAAAGGTCCGCGTCTTTACTGCTAACGAAAATCCAAGTCTCGTCCACTCTATTTTCGCTTTGCACCACCGTCTCTATCGCCTTGCCTACCAAACCCGTTCCTCCAGTTACCATAATAATTTTTTTATCAGGCATGTTTGCTAACTGCAATTTACCCGTTTCGTTTACGTTTCATTCGTTAAAGAAAAGAATGAAACGTACACAAAAAGATAAACTATATAGGTTATGTCTTCTTCTTGAGCCTTGCTGGCCAAAAAGTCAGGATCATTAGTAATGATTTTTTTATTGTCTAGAATTAGTATAATAATATACTAGGTCCTGCCTATGCATTACACAGATAATACAGAAACATTTTGAAAAGGTCTATATATAATTTCCTTTTTAACTAAAGACCTTGAAGCATTCAACAACCAACGTCAATAAGTTTTGATGCAGCATTTTTACTATAGTATTTTCCCAAAATTTGCCTACGTCTCGTTAAACAATCTGCGGATATGAGCTAAGTGTGTGAAAATTGCTATGCATTCCCCTCATAGCCAATAATGCTGGAAATTATGAATCGACATTAAACACGCGAATGCGCGAAATTTAAAAATTCGTTTTAACCAATGACCTCGAAGCATTCAACAACCAATATTGCCAATAAGTAATAAGCCTGGGAAAACGAGTTAAGTGTGGGGAAATCGCTCCTTAGAAAGGAAATGGTGCAAAAATGTTTGTTGGTTATCAATAGCCTCTGAGCCGCATGAACTTTACCGTACTAGGGCGAATATTATCTAATAGGCGATGACGTCGCGTTCCCTCGACAGTCGTCATCGGCCATACGAAAATAAAACCGAAGTTTGTTCTAAAATATATTTGGTACTTTGACAATATAAAATAACATTAAAAATTAAATGATACAAGTAATAAAAGGCACATATTCAAAGAGGAATGTATACAAAATAGCCTGGGCTAGACGATTCAGCCAGCAGAGTCAAAGAAAAAACTTAGTAATAAAATAATGAGACGCATTTATATCTATGGCTTACAAAATATTATTATCACATACATACCATCCAACAACCGCTAAGACAAAAGTATTAAACTTAATTTTGAAACGAGAGCGACTCAAAACGTTAACATCCGATACAGCCATGAGTTTCAAACACTAACACTATTTTACATATCGTATCACAAAAAAAAGGATAACGTGCTCCCAGCAACTCCAAATTGGTGATTTCCAAATTGAATAACACGAAAAAAAAATTGAGACAACCAAGTATCATCATCCTCTTGAAAACTACATCCTAAAGTATACTGCTTATTGCATAAGGTTAACGCGCAATGTGGGCAATGTTAGTTCCATAAAATTCTTTAATGCGTAATAGAAAAAGCACCAGAAATCTCAGTGTCGCGCGTATAAATTGTATATAAGGCGGCCGACGTTCACATAGAATAAAGAAAGTAATGCACGCCGCGAGAAATGAATTCTTCTCCCGGTAATTCTTAAACAACTTCGTCTAATAAAAATTTACCCTATGTGGCAAGGGGTTCATAATAATACGATTTTGTTGATATATTAAACGAAGTACTTCAAAAGTTAATCTGTAAAAAATGAAATACTGAGAATAAAAAAAACAATGGCAAAATAAAGTTAAAATAGCTCAACCCCCCCCCCTCCTAAAAATTAAAAAATAGTGCTAAAACGTGGTCGTGCTGACGCTCCTGTTCACCTTTTTCCCTATGAGCCGCGAACTCAGCCTCGCGATGTTGGGTACTTTTATGCTGTCACTGGCGATCGTTTTGATACACAAAGCCGCCTCCTACAAAAAAAAAAACTTTCAAAGAAACTGGTTTACATTTTACTCTGTACCTGCTTAAGCACCGTTTGAGGGGGGGCGGAGCTAAAGCAGAGACATGAACATTGTCTCGGATGACTGATTCGCATCACTTTGATTCTTGACCATGACGACAAATAACAAAAGTATCATCAATGTAGCGTTTTCATAGTTTTGGTTTTACATGGAAAAATATTTAGTGCTGCTGACAATATGTCGAAGGGGTAATCCTGTTTGGTCTTTTTTTTTTTAGAGTGGTGAGGAGTGACAGATTTTTTCACGGATTATAATAGAGAAGAAGCGATTTATATACAGGTGATATAACATCTTTTTTAAGTTGACAATAAGATCCATTAATGAGACTACTCTGAATTTTTTTGTGCTCATCTACGACTACCTCAGCATTTCCTTTATCTGCTCCTAAAAAAAGCTATGCATTCAGGCTTTGGGAACTTGATTTAATTTTTTAAGGATTCTTGCAGTTTCGAATCGAATTTCATTAGAACTTTGTTTGGGATATACATAACATTTGAAATTATTTCCTATTTGGGATAATACGTGGGGCAAGGAAAAGGTTGGAGCCATTTGCAAGAACTGATTTTTCAATTTCAGAAAGATACATTTACCACAGTGTTTGACAGTTGACACTTACGTTAAGAATAATTTTCTTAATTTTTGACTGTGAGTCTAGGTAGAAGATACAATTAGATTTTTAGCTTTGTGACGAATCAAATTTAAAGGGGTATCGAAACTTTCAGAATAGAATGCAAACCAATTTCACTTAAGCTCTGAAGAAGCGAGCTCGGCCGTACGCAGGAATGTGCGAGTGTCCCTAGTACACGTGCCCAACATGGCGCAAACAGTAAAAGAAGCGGAGCGCCGCGTTCAACAAGTAGTCGGTTTAAAAGAGAAACCGGAGCGCCCAAAAAATATTAATCGACGTATAGAAATAGAGATGTTATATAAATTATTATGTTATAGTGTGTACATGGTGATTTTATTTTCTTGGGCGCAACAATTTGTTATTGTTAAACATATAGAAATAGGTGATTTCTCAAAAAACAAAAATCTCGTACGAAACAGACCTCGTCAATTTTTGACGTTTTTTTGAAATAAATTTCACCATTACCTGTAAAATTTGGGGCATATGGAGGCCCTCAGGAATTATTTTCGTGGGAAATGGGGTTTGCAAAAATAGAGATAATTATAAAGTGGCAGAACTTAAAGCAAAAATTCGAGAGGAAATTAATTATATCCATCCAAGCTGTACGAGAAGCACTCTACAGCATGAACCTGCTACCTGCATTTAGCAAAATTTGGACCTTTAAATCTTTCTAGACGTAAAATAAAATGTTTCCTTCAATTATTTACATTTTAAATTTGTAAAATATAGATGAATAAAAACAAATTTTTAATTTATTCTGTTTCAAGTCAATTATTCCACAATCACTAGGTTATCATTCGATCGATGGTTGTCGTTAGTATGATAAAGTTACGGAGATTTTAAAAGCATCAAAATGAGATGTAAATATTTTGCTTTATTGTCAAACGTCTCGTCAGTTACAATAATATAGGGCTCTTCCTATTATAGACATTTCTTCGGTTCCGTTTCAGTCAGGGATAAGTTTGTAATATAATTTAATTCTTACAAAGGGTTGCGTCGTCTTTTGTAGATTTCTTTCGTGCAATGTCATGTTTGGAATTACATTTTTCAATTTTTGACGCATTTCTTTACAATGCTTCAAAAAATAAACGTGTTGTTCTTTGTTTTCGTGTACATTTTTGTAGGGACTACAATATTATTACTTATAAAAGGTAAAAAAAAGTCCCCCAATTTTTAGCTGAGCAACATCCCAACCTACCAAAAAATTCTTGTAGAACTGTGGTCAGTGTTTCCGCAGTAACATTGCTAATAGCATTTGTAATTTTATTAAGAAGTTCTTCTAAATAATTTGCACGGACGTGCAAATTCATTGGTGTTAGATCTGGGAATCTAGGTGGCTCTTGATTGATCACTTATCACTTATTATGCAATTTGAAAACATGGTATTCAGAAAATCCTAAATTCCCCTAGCGTTATGTGTCGGGCAACAACTGGATATTTGTTTGTATTTAAATTTCCATCAATGAACAAAGGACCAATGATATGGTTTCTTAAAATACCAGCACCTTTTCTGTTTTTTTATAATTTAAACCTCTTCTTGGGTCGAATATACTACCATTATAAAAAAAATGAGTAGTTTTCAACCAAACGCCATGACGCCTATTTTTCCTTTCCCCGCGACACAGTTGTGTGATCCAAACAGGTTTTTATTTAATCTCGCAGCACCTTTTACATTCCAAGAGTCTCGGTGTAACTCTGTCTCACTAACGGTAACGCTATAACCGAATAATACTTTTCGGGACCTGTATGTGTTGGAATAGAAGTTATTTATGTGCGTTGTACTAATGGTGTGCCATTACAAAAAATGAAATCTTAGTATTTACAAATTTCGAAACTCAGACTGTAAAAAGAGACAACCGGTATAATTCTAGACTTGAAAATCACGAAAATCCGTTAAACTCAAGTCTTGTGCGTATAATATTCCTTTTGCAGATATTACTAGTTAGCCTAATATCTATTTTGTGTGGAAGTCAAACAGAGGGTCTGATGAAAATACAAAGAAGTTTTGTTTTCGAAATTTTTTGGTAACTATCACAGGTTTTAAGATTAAAATAGGTATGTACGTATAAATATGTTTTTGTCTCTTTCCCTCAGCTTTCTACGCATGTTGTTTCAAATCAAATTAACGAAACCAAGACCAGGCGCCAGGTGACCCGGCCACGCCTCCACGACCTTAACGACCCACTCACTCACCTTCAACTGTTTGACTAGCATCTCATTGCGCATCTTTTCAGCGTGCAACTCCCTGGTTAGGGCGGCCTTGGTTTTGCTACAGTCGGGGTTGAGGGCGCGGTGCTGGAGCAGTTGCACCGTGCTGGGCCGTTCCATCGGGTTTGGGTGGATCATAGACCTACGTAAAAAAATCTTTTAAAAATATGTAAGGCAACATATAATAAAATAACGTCACTTGCAAAAACTACCAAAAATAGGCTAAATGATACCCAAGATATGGAAGTCGATAGCATGGAGACCGAAGATGAAACTGATGATGAAGATTCTGTATCAATTACCAGTGAAAAAATCAAGGAAAATCCTTTGAACCAGAACACTGAATGCGAAAAATGCAAGCACCATATTAAGGAATTAACCTATAAAATGAGAGTCAATAGTGAATTAGTGAAACAAAATAACGAGTTGCGTGAACATAACACCGAGTTACGTGAAAATAATAGTTTCTTAAGATCATCATATGTACCTGCAACTAAAAGCTCTATAGATGTTGGCAATTCGTATGCGGATGTGGTGCTAAATATCCCTAAAAAACAAGAATGTGCCTGTTTGATAATAAAACCGAAGCAAAATTTCAAAGGAGATGCATTGGGTGTAGTCAAAAAGCAAGTTTCAGGCAAAACAAATCCTAAAGTTGTAAATATTAATAAAGCTAGTAAAGCATCGATATTTTTAAGGTATATCAGTGAGAAAGACTCTGAAAATATCGTCAATGTAATAAACAGTGATAATAGTGAAACATTAACAGCTAAAGTATGTGTTAAGCAAAATTCGCAAATAAAAATAACCAATATAACGGAAAATATTGATAAGGAAGAACTCGAGAATGACATAATACGTAGAAATCAATTACCATCAAATAGTACAAATATCATACACACACACAATCATACTGCTGCTCTAGCAGAAATAACTTCGGACGCATATGCAAAAATTATGAAGACCAAATCTGTATTTATTGGGTTTGAAAATTGCAGAGTGTATGATAATGTCAATATCAAACGGTGTAAAAATTGTTGCGGATATAACCATTCCCTGAAAAAGTGTAAATACTTTCTTAAAAGGCAACAATCATGTTGTCAGTGTTCCGGTAACCATGATGCTACAACGTGTACCTCACATATAAAAAAATGTATTAACTGTAGTAATGCTAACAAGTAACTAACCAAGAAAAGGGCTATCGATCATTCTGCTGATGATATTTATAACTGTGAAAGGTTTAAAATAAAATGGGAACAGTATGTCAGTGATACAAACTACCCGTTGAAGCCAGATCCTCCATTTAAGTAAGCAATAAATCTTTATATTAACACAGTTGTATAAAATTTATAAAACAATATTTATGGATATAGAAGAATATAAACTTAATGAAGAACTAAAATTTAATAATATAGCTGAAATTAATGTGAACCCTATTTTCAGTAATTCAGAGCTTTTGATTCTACATGTCAATATTACAAATGTTAAGAAAAATATAATAAAATTGGAAACGATGATAAGTACTTTTAAACACAAACCAGATGTAATAATATGTACTGAAGCATGGCTCATAGAGAATATTAAATTTTTAAATATAGCAGGTTATACACATTTTATAAATAACAGTAGAATAAATAAAGCGGATGGAGTGATCATTTATGTTAAAAATAATTTGCAGTATCAAAACGTAAACGAACAATTTAATGAATTAAAGTCACTAGTCACTAGTATATTTATTCAAAATCTCTGGAATTTATCGTTGTCATGATTATGAAATCAAGAAGTCCATTAATGATCATGAGAAATTCATTGCAAGCAACAAAGACGTTACAAATCACACAATAATGGGGGATGTTTACTTGGATATTATTGAGTTTAATAATAAAACTGAGAAATACTTCTACTCCTTATTGAAAAAGGGTTATAAATCTATGATGAATACGTGTACGTATACCATTAGGGATTGTGCATTGATTATATTTTCATGAGGGGAACTAGCATAGTAAAGTCAGACAAAATAACTAATTCAATCTCCAACCACTGTGTTGGTTTCGGTTTGTGGGAATAATATAAGATGCAAACTTCAAGAAAAATCGGAAATAAATATGAACAAATTCTGGAAATTATGTGTCTCTGAAAATTGGTAACAAATTTTGCAAACACCTAATAATGAAGAAGCGTTAGAAATTTTAATAAAGAAAATTCAAAATGTGTAAGCTATTACTTAAAAATAGGCCTAAAAGTACAAAATAATATAATCAAATAAATCAAATTATATAAAGCCTGAAAAAACAATCAAGATGATTTGGTTAAACAGGAGCAATACCTACTATACGAAAAAAAATTAAGTCCCTGCTGAGGGCTGCTAAAAATAGGCATGAAGATAGACAATTGCAAAATACAGACTCCAAAAACAATGTGGCAATATGTAAATAGTAAATTAGATCGTAGCATGAAAAACAGGCAAATAGATGAAATAATAATAAATGAAAAAACGAATGCCAACGATCTTGAAAAGGCAAACTATTTTAACGAGTTTTTTAGCACAGTGATATTTAAACTGATTGAAAGTGTGACTCATCCAATAAGACGCCATCAAATACCAGATATACCATATAATCAGAATACAATGTTTCTAGCACCAACAAATGAGACAGAAGTTTATCAGACTATTAGTGGACTTAAAAACAAGGCTGGAGGGTTTGATGACATCCATGCCTACATAATGAAGTTAACTGCTCCGTTCATAACCCCAGTATTGACTCACATAACAAATAATGCCATGGCGCAAGGGACTTGTCCATATCAATTCAAGACAGCTGTAATTTGTCCAGTTTATAAGCATGGTCAGAGAAATTTGGTGAACAACTATCGTCCGATGGCATTAATTTCAAATCTTGCTAAGATTTTTGAAAAAATTATTTTTGTCAGATTATTCGACTTCCTTAATAAGCACAACATATTAAGTTTAAGACAACTTGGTTACCTCAAGAAGAAAGGCGCAGATGATGCTATAGCTTTACTTAGCAAATTTAAATATGAGAACTTAAGTCTTAGCCTACCAACAGTTGTGACTTTTAGACTACACAAAAGCTTTTGTTACAGTTGATCATGTTATACTACTGTCCAAATTGCAGAATATGGGAATAGGGGGTGTAAGTTTGTCCTTGAAGTTATTTGAAAGATAGACGCCAAGTTGTAAGGGTAAATGGTACTAAAAGTCAGCAAGTTACAACAAATGTTGGAGTGCCTCAGGGCTCAATACTTGGACCAATATTGTTCATCTTATATATAAATGATTTGTTGGTTTTGCAAGATACCTTAATAGCTGATGATACTGCAGTACCAATGAAAGCAAAATCATGGCCCAAACTTTCAACAGCCATGTCGTCAACTCTGGATATTATATACTCCTGGCTCTACCAAAATAAACGGGTACCCAACACAGACAAGTCTGTTTTTGTCTCTTTTGGAAACTATAGAGACTCTGTTCCACAGGATATTGAAATCAAGATGAATGGTGTGAGTCTGAAAAGAGCTACAAGTAGCAAATATCTAGGAATAACTTACGACTATAATATAAAATGGGATGTTCACGTGGATAACACAGTAAAAAAAAACCAAATACTTAGTATGTTTTTTATAGGCTTAAGGAAGTACTATCAAGAAAGCAGTTATTACAAATTTATTACGGTCTTTCCCACAGTGTCGCTGTGTATGCAGTCATAGGCTGAGGAGGTCTCTACAGTTCTTTGGTTGACCCATTGGATCGGCTTCAGAAGTGTATTCTTAAAATTATTGGAATAAATGAACAAGATGCAGATAGGCCACTGAGTATCAAACAAGCTTTTGTGGTGAATTCAATAGTGTATCAATATAGTGGATTAAAAAATGAGTATATACAAAATCAAATGAACACTCGCAATAAAAGTATTATTTTGCCCCCCCCCCCCCCAACTGGCTATTGGACAAAGAAGCTAGGTGTATTATGCAGTAAAATATTTTAATTAATTATCTAATGAACTGAAAAATCTCAATGTTGACAAAAAAGTACTTTAAAAAAAAGTTAAAGGAAACATTACAAGTGTTACGATCTAATAAATAAAATTCAAAATATCTAAAAGCTTTTTTCAATTTGTAAAATTATAAAAAGTAAGATATATTTGTGTATAATTGGCGAGGTGCAACTTACAACCAATATTAAGTAGTTGTAAGTTATAGTAAGTAGTTGTAGTTGTAAGTTATATTAGAGCCAACCTATGTACGGGCAATATTTGCCCCCTATAGGTGGTCCTTTACTAAAAAAACATTTTTTTAGGTAAAAGGAATTTTTGGCAATAAATATTGTTATTATTATTATTATTAAAGTATACATGCACCCATTTGGTGATTTGTACATTGCTCCAAGAATTACATCTTGGTTATTGAGGCACTTGTCGAGCAAAATGAGGCCTATTGTAACCAAACTGCGTTTATTGGGATTTGGGAACGAAATTGCGAAAATAGGAAGTAAGCCAATTTGTAAATATCGAACTCCAGTAAGATTTTGATTGAAGAAATAAGGTGCAGTCATTTTGTTATTCACAGTCCTTGACCAAAAATTTATTTTTTGTGAATGTTCAGTATGATTTTCCCTCACCCATTATTTGAACTTACAAATGCCTTCTTGAGTTATTGTTTTGTCTCCATGTCCAATAAAGATTTCAATTTTAATTCTCTGAGTTTGATTTAGATGGGCCATATTCACTTCGTTACCGACAGAAATGTGACTATAATAATTTAAGAAGTTTACTGGACTTACCGTTAATCTCAAGATTAAATTTGTGCTTTTTATTCTTTTGATCATAAAATGCAAAAAAATAAGTACGTGATTCGTGAAGATTACAGGTTTTCTTGAAAACAACCAATATCGAAATTACAAAAGACATTATAAAAAAATTCGAGAGAAATTTAGAGGAATGGGATGCAACTTCTTTTTATACTCACATCTGCACTACTTTTCCAAAAATATTGATGCTGTGAGTGACGAGCAAGGTGAGATTAATGAATACTGCTGGTTATTAAGGATAGACAATCCGAATATACAAAAACATTCACATAAAGATGCTTTTTGCAAAGCACAGATCTTCCAAAAATTAATGGACTTAACTACTGTTTGAAGCTTGCGCAAATAAAAAAATAAATAAATAAATAAACTACAAAATTCCATTTGAGATGCCAGGAGTTTACAGCATTCCATACATATGTGGCAAAGAATACATTAGAGAGACCGGACGAAAAATATCAACTAGGCTCAAAGAACACGAAAGAGCCTTAGGACTAAGAAAAATGAACACGGGCATAAAATTTTATTTGATAAAACTAAAATTCTTGCATGTCTACCAACGAAAAATCTGAGAGTCTATGAACAACCTAGCAATCTTAACCGCGACCTGTCACCAATATGGGAATCAGTCATCCGAGACGGTGTTTATTCCCCTCATTTAGCTCCGCCCCGCTCAAAGAATATATAAGCAGGTAAAGAGTAAAATTCGAGCCAGTTTGTCAAGCTCTGAAGAAGCCAACAGGACGATTGGCGAAACATCAGCAAGTTCGACTCAGCAAAAAACCAATGTAGGAGGAATCCAGAAATTTTGTAAAAAGTAAATAAACCGAGATTTTCATTTATTGATCCTTGTAATGTTGCTAAAAACCGTACGTGATAGAGGAAATGGCTTATCACATTTAAATAGAATCAAGTATGAGATCGAAATCAACTTTCAAAAGCTTAAAAAGTGTTGGATCGTGTTATTGGTTTAAAAAAAATGGTATTCCATTTAAAAAACGGCACTAACTCTAAGAAAAAATTATGTGTTCCATATTTTAGCAATCTACTGTATATTGCGAACCTGCCATTTGCTAATGAAGGCGAAAAAACTACAGTGTGCTCACTTGATCAGTTCGAGGAGGTCCTTGGTCAGTTTCTGGGGTAGTTTTGGTATCTCGCCTCGGCGGAGGGCGTGCCACTCAGGTCCGTTCTTGGGCAAGGGTCCCGCGCCTGCGCACTCGAGCGCGCTCAATCCCAAAGCGAACACATCTGCCTTCGTCAGGTGACTGTAGTCCTCGTGGAGTATCTCGTCAGGCAAGTAACGGCAGTCTCCCTCCTCCACCTACGCAAGTTAAATGTCAAAATAGACCAAAATGATATAACTAAAATTTCTAGGTACAGAACTTGACTGTCAATTAAGGTGGTCCAATCAAATAGACTGGAGCATAGAACTCCTATTTTGCTATTACAATATTAAAATCTTTCTTAAATACCCCTCTTACAATATCGTAAGTTGGGAAGGAGCAGTAGACTCGGAGGGAATCTTTGTCCAACCAAAAATAATAATTGGACTAATATACAACATGGAGAGACGTTTTTAGAGCTAAAATTTTTTTAACTCTGATGAGTATTTATTTATTTAAACTATTAATTTATATACATAAAAATAAAGACAACTTTCAAACAAGATCCGATATTTATTCCTACACAGCAAGAGATAAAAATAACTTGCAGTTAAAAAAAATTAATAACAATTACTATATAATACGCTTCCTGCTGAAATTAGAGATGTACAGCAAAAGAAATTAAAAAATATTGAAAATCTTTACTCAAAACAAATGCTGTTTATAATCTAAGTCTAAATATTTAAATCATATGAATAATTGACAAACAAAAGTTTGTATTAAATGATACAATTTGGCTCCTTGTTTGTTGGTCTTCTCAAAGTAAAATTTTGTAACATTTTTATGTTTATAAATTTTAAAAATATCTAGACAACTTTCCTGTGTTATATTGGTATTAGTGAATAATTGTCTACTCTACATTATTTCCATTTACCTGGGGATTGCTGAGGCTGGTCACATGTCCCAGGTCGCCTATTTTGTAAGTCAGCTCCTCCTCGTACAACGAGCCCTCCTCCACATCTTCGAACCCATCGTCGGCCGAGTCGTAGTTCGTAATGTTTATCTGGAACAACCGTATAGCGATTAGCAATTTTGCAGTTATCATGACATCTTAATCCAATATTAATGTCAAAAGCTGCGTTAACATGAACATTGTTAAATTTACCGGATAACTAAATCCTTTAAAAATGCTCCCACGATTTGGTGAAAACAAGCAAGCCCTTAGGTATTTTAAAACCTGTGGATTTCGTTCGCGAAAAAAAAAAAAATGCTGGGAAACCGCTCTTACTCTTAAACGGTGTACACAATTCAATGTCTCCATTTTATGAACGAGCAATTTTACTTATTAATTATTATGTCTTACTGTAGCGTGTTGCCAATAAGCTTGTTTATTTCCCTTTTTCCAAATGAATAATATAACCTTTGGCACTCCTTTTTTTGTGCGTAAAGTCGTCCTGGTTTTTGGATCGAAAAAATGTATTCATTTTAATAATTACTTTTCCTCCCTTATAGGAGAACATGTCACTGTATATTAAAAAGATAGAAATATTGTTGGAAAAAATGAAGTATGAAATATCTAATGGAACAACCATGCATCGCAAATAAATGACTGATATTATTGAGAAAAAACATGATGCCTTCTTTTCAATCTAGTATTTATGAATGAGACTTGGATATTTAAGGAGCGTCTAGGACCAGCTGGCAAGACGATTCTTTTTTATGGGAAAAGAAGACTTTCTAACTTGTGAACAGAGATAAAAGTTTTAGTTTTGTTTCCATGGAAACTTGCATTTCCTCAATACTAATTTGCTTTAGGAAGAAACTAACTGCTGCTGGCCAATCTTAGTGCAGCTTCATTAATAATAATGGATAATGTGGACTCATTGAGCCAGTATATAATTGGATCAAGCAGTCTCTCGTCTAGTGGTTGCAAAAAGGGAATCTTCCATTTCAGCCAAATTTAATGAAAGACCACCTATCTTTTAAGAATGGACAAGTTAGGATTGGAAAATGGCCATCGCGTTTTGCTAAAATATGCCACTTGCTCAGTAAAATAATAATAATCCTTCTGTTGGGACTATTCACAACACTTTGTTTCAGGTTTCACTCGAAAAATGGAAGAACTATTGTATAACTATGTAATTAATAATTAAATCAATATTAACTTATTTCACATTCAAAAATAAAATAAATATAGTCATTGTGTAAGCAATAACTTGCAATATAGTAATATAGTATAGTAAGTATAGTAATTAATAATTAATTATCTCCCCCAGAATAATACTCGCAACATGGGATACAACCTTTTTTAGTTATTAACATGCTTCTTGTAATGTTGTCTTCAATGTAACAAAAGTTATTTTCTAAATTAATGAAATCTATCTATTTTATCCATGGGCTGTTATCGCTTTAATTGCTTGAAAAGGGTCCACACATATGCAGCTGTATCATCAAAGCCATGGAGTTCTTTTCGGCAGTTGCAACCAAGATTCCATTAAAAAGCACATTAAAAACATAAGCGGGTCGCCCACTTTACCCTGGAGTACACCAGAATCCACAAGCAATCTATCACAGGAACAATTTGATATTTTTACACTTTGCCTGTACTGTTACTTAGACATGACTTAAAACGGGGGAAAAACTTTTTTCAGAAAACTCACCTTTTTCTCGATGGAGATGAATATGTTCCCAGGTTTTATGTCCAAGTGTACCAGACCCTCAGAATGGATGTATCTGAGGCCCTCGGCGACGTGCAACAGCATACGTCTCAGTTCGATGGCACTAAGCGCCTCCTGAGCGACTTTATCGGACAAGGCGCCCCCGTTACAATACTCGTTCTGTATGATCATGTGATTGTCCTCGGCCCAGGCCGAATAGTAACGGACCACATGCTGGTGTTTCCCTAAGACCGCGTGCGCGTACACTTCGTTCAACGCCGTTTTCTCGAAGGAGCTGCCCGCCACCGGCTTCGTGGACTTTTTGATCGCGTACACGCAGCCGTCCAAGCGGTTGACACACTTGAAAACCGACCCGAACTGCCCCCTGCCTATGAGTTCGATTTCGTGGAACTCCCTATGATACCGAGGGATGTTGCTTTCCTAAAAACGCACCAGGTTTATCTAAAAACCACGCGACTCCCACAACAAAAACCAACCTGCAAGGCCATTCTTTTCGTCGGTTGTTCGATTTCAATGTCCGAGGCGTCCGAATCATTCAAATCTAGTTTTGACGGTTTAAATATGGGAGACTCGCCCAGAGACCTTATCGATCGCGTCCTCTTCTTGGACAAAAGCATTCCTAAAGAAAAAAATAAAAATTTCAACCAAGGAACCAACAGACATAAAATATTACCATTGGGCGTGAAGGGGTTTACGTTCGCGTGGGGCTTGTCATCTTTCTGCGTGTAGGAGCTCGGAACCGACGTCGGTTTGTCGCTGAACAGCCTGCTCCTGGGCAACTGCGTGCTGGAAGCGAAGCTTTTTTGGACTATCGTCTTCGGCGTCAGCGGGCTGTCCAGCAGTTTCAAAGCTCTGACCCTTTTGTACGGCGGACTGAACGACAGTTTCGTCGGCGCCGGCGTCCGATTGTTGTTCTCGCAGCGGACGTAATCGCCCATTTTCCTCACGGGTTGCGGACTCACGATGCTGTCGCCCGATATCTCAAACGACATGTCGCCGCAGCCTGACGAATTAAAATCTTCCGCTTCCCAGTCCCGGAGGTCTTCGTGCACACTACTGGACGTAGACATTATTGGATTATTCACAAAAACACAAAAATCACCGAAACCTATAAACAACGTTTTACGGTGTCGCTTTCTCTACCATCGGAACGAAACGGTTATGCGAGGTGACGCATCTGGATTTGATCGGACCAATCGCGTGGGGTCTCCCCCCACGAAACCGCTTGCCGCGATTGGTCGGAATTGAATTCTTTGTTGTCGTATCGTTGGCAGCTTGTAAGATTGCGACCAATGGGATTTCATTTGTTTAATGGATCTTTTATGAAACAATTAAAATTGTTTCATAAAAGTGAATTGCCGCTTAGACTTATTTGTAACTACGATTTGGCCTGTAAAATAACTATTGGACTTCAAAACGTTTATTGTTTGAATTGAGTTAATTTTTACGTTGCAATTTATCTCCGAAACTACAAAAATTGCATAGAATTAATACTTATTTTAATTTCAGGCGACAAGTTGCAACGACTTGGTAATTTTTGCGGTAGTTTTTTTTGCCAACCGAAAATGTGCGTTGGTAGCATTTGGAGGCAATAAAGTTAGGTTAAATAATTAATCTTGAAGAATTATAAACAATTTTTCGCAAACCATAACTGCAAACTATCCGGATCCGGCAAGGTTAGGTTATTTTTCGCTTAGTAATATTTAGTAACTTGAAGGTTGGTCGCTTCAATGTTATTGTTTGCGGAAAATCTCGGCGTTTAAATACGTGTGCGACAAAAGAAGTCGCGCTTTTCGTTAGCGAAACCAATAATCGTTGAAACCACGGGAAACTTACCAAAACAGCTGATAAATGTCAACATATCACTGACACAAGTGAACAAGAAATGACACGCAAGTAGTAACCATCATTTTTTACCATCGGGGTTTTTGGATCAAATAACATCTATTAAAACGGAAAAAGGTTGTAAAATGGCCGACTTACCAATCGAGATAACGGGCGAAATGGAGCCGCCCGTTGATTTAAAAAAAAGCGGTACATTGCCCAGGTACAGTGTAAATTTGGACCATTTTTAAATGAACATTGAATGTGGGATGCGGTTTTCAGCTTTCTTCGTATCCCTACGCAAATTCCCGATCCGAAGGAGTGGATACAACAGCAAAGACAAAACGTAAGGCCTTGGTTAGTTTTCGCGCAAACCTCGAATTTTAAGGTACCGGTTTCCGTGCCACGTTTGGGGAAAAGGATAATGAGAAACGTGGAATATTTCCAAGCGAACTACCTATTCGTCTTTCTGGGGCTCGTGCTGTATTGCCTGTAAGTGTTCTCTTACTGACGATTATGAGAATTAGGTCACATGTCTGGTAGGAGAAACTTTCTCCTCATAGCATAAACTTTCCCCAGTGATCGTTAAATTTCAGAGTGACGTCTCCTTTGATTCTGTTGGCGCTCGCTGGTACTTTTTACGCCGGTTTCAAACTCAATCGGAGGCACCAACAACAGAAGAAACTGATGGTGCTCGGCAAGGAACTGACACTGGCACAGCAGTATGGGCTCGTCGGCCTGTGTTCGATGCCGATTTATTATTTCGTGGGCGCCCACGGGGCCATGTTTTGGGTTCTGGGCGCTTCGGTGGTCATCATAACATTGCACGCAGCGTTTTACGACATAGAAGCTCTGATCCCCAGAAGGGACGACGAGTTCCCGCTCTTAGAAGAGGTGTGAGCTGACCCAGGTGCGAAATCTCAGTGACAAGTGTTTTTTGTGCAACATATTTTTGTAATTTAACTTGGCATATGTTAATACCAGGTGCTTCTAATCCATCCGCGTGACATTTTAACTCCAGAGTTTGACGGGATGCTTTTGTGGCCAGAGACTCTGACGAGGAATATTTTAAAGTACGAAAACCGCTTTTCCAACCATAATCTTGGTGTTTTGAAATGTTTAAAGTTACAAAAATTAAAGCGAGTTTTACTTTTAGATAATAAATTACTCTTCCATAAATCATTTGAATTCACTTCCTACTTAATTTTGAATTATTTAAATTTATTTTAAGTAGCGGGAATTCAAAGATACAATAGCACTTAAAAGACAAACACTACTTCAAATCAAGTTTGTTAATCCAAAGGATTGAAACAATTCTATCAAAACAGGACCAATATGTATAAACTAATGCAATTTCGAAATAGCTATTCACTTGAAAATCTTGTGATCAAATCTAGGCTGTTTAAATGTTATGTACCCAAAGGTTTGGATTTGAGAGGGGTAAACTTCTAATTAAAATTGAGGGAGTTAGAGTTAGTTAAAGAAACACACCATAATTTCAAAAAATCATTAAAAAACTCTTATAAACATATAAGCTGCCATACTCTCTGCAGTCAGTCATATAAAGATGATCAGATGTCGACAAATCTGATGAGCACATAAGTCTTTATTTTTATTCTCATAAAAATACCTCTTCACGATCGTAACACGCAAATTTTGATTCGGCAACTACTTCTTTCATTCAGTATGAATTTGAATTATCTCGAGTTAGGTCAACGGATCCAAAAGCAACTTTCATACCTCAAAATATTCAAACTGACGACTGTCAATTTTACAAAAGTAGGAATTGACAGATCGCGCTACCAAATTAATGTCACGCGATATGTCGATATTAACATGTTTCCGTATCGGGGAGTTTTTTTTTGTAATTTTCCACTGGGGGGGCTTCGATGTGCATATTGTAAATACTAAACCGATGTAATAAAAAGAATTCGAAATTAGAGTTATAGAAAATATCTTTATTCTCAAGGCATATCAAACACATCACTAGTTAAGCAATGCTTCGACATTTACTTAGTAGAGATAAATCATATTTTGTACAATTCAACTATACGAGAGAAACTCCATATTTACAAAGAATAAAAAACAAAGAAAAAGGTCACTTGGAATTTTTGTCGTTTGTTTTTTTTTTTTAGTTTTGGACCTTCGGCCACGCGAATCGTCGGCCTCCGGAAATTATTTAAAAAATATCAACTTTTTTTTGTTTGAGAACTTTTTCCGCGATCCGATCTCTCAACAAGGAAATTATAAATAAAAGTAACAATGTACCGGGTATCAACAAGCGACGCCGTCGACGACAGGCGTCGTAATCACTTCCTCGGAACAACATAATATCTTAAAACGAAAATATTAAGATTTTTTTCCTTTTTACAATAAAAGCGCTGCGATACAGAGATATACAGGGCGGCCGGTTTATTACGGCACCATCAAAACGTCTGCCATTCGTTTTCCGTTTGGTTTAAATGGGACACCTCGTAACACAATAACGCGTTTTACCACAAACCGAAACTCAATTTTACATACTCGACGCGCGTTTCGCCAACCAAGTTGGCATCTTCAGGAGAAGATTAAAACTAGTTTTAACAGTTTTTAAACAGTTTTAATCTTCTCCTGAAGATGCCAACTTGGTTGGCGAAACGCCCGTCGAGTACGTAAAATTGAATTTCGGTTTGTGGTAAAACGCCTTATTGTGTTAGTGCAGTGCCGAAGGTTCCAGTCAAGAGTTTGGAACACCTCGTATATATGTATATAACTGTTTTATTGATTTTGATTCGAAATGCCGACACAGATTGGAAACTTTTTAAATTGAAAAGTCGTTTTTTAGCAGTTCTTTTGATTTTGTCTTTATTGCCTTAGAAAAGGTAAAATTACGAAATTTTAATTTTTTTGATTCAGGTTTTATCCAAACATTAAGCACTATTTTTTTTCTATAAGAAAATCTTTATTGACTTTAACAAAACGTTTCGTAATATTTTGCTGAGCATTAAAAAAAAAAATTGAAAATAAAATTGAGAAAACTACCAACAAACATCACATTTTTCAAATGGCTCGAAATTTTACAAAACTGTAGACTTCTAAATGCCGCCGATGTAAAACGTTTTTTTTGCAAAACTAATCGAATGTTCTACAAGAAAAGACCATTGCCTGTAGAAAAGGTATATTACGAAATTTTAACGTTTTCAATTGAAAAAGTCGTTTTTTAGCTGCTCTTGATTTTGTTTGGCAAAATGGTTAAATATAGAATTCGACATTGCCAAATTTATAGGGTGTCCCATTTACTGAAAAACGACGGATTTCCTATTTCTCGTTTTCCCTTTACTTTCCCCGATAAAGTGGCGTCTCTAAATAACAAACGGGCCATCCTGTACACTAAACGAAAGTGTTACCCTGCTACATAACATACCTAAACTATAATAAATTTCTATTTATTACAAATTATTTTCCTTAGAATATCGATCTTTTTTTTTCGCTAGACGCCGTTTTTTCGTCGGAAGGCAGCCTCGTGAGCGGTAATGGCGGTGGTTGGTGGTGGTGGGGAGAATTTTCCCATTGCACGGAAAATCGCGCGCGAAGCACTTTTCAATCTTTTTTGTTTTGTTAACGTAACGAACGAAGAAACGTAAGCAACAACGACTAGAAAACAGAAAAGCGCGCGTCCAATCGGCGGGCGACAAAAAAATACATTTTTCCATAGGCGGCGGGTAGGGGGCGACACTTTGCTTCTTGTACTAGTTTTAGCCTGACAATGAAGTAACGGAAACGTCTCGAAATGTCGTTTGGAAGTTATGTTTCCCGGTTTTTGTTTCTTTGGGACTCACATTTAGTCATGAGAGCTATTACTGCGAGAACGCGCCATTAAAACATGGCTGCCGACATCGAACGTGAATATAACCAACATTGTCAACTTCAAATTATCTCTAGGCAAGCAATTTTTCGATAACACCGCCCTTGTCGCCAATAAAAACGGGGGGGGGGGAGGCGATAGGACTGGTGAAAGAAGAGTTACAACGGTTTTTGATATTGTCGAAAGAAAGTTTTCTGAGGGGGGTGAAAGCTCAGACAGATAAATGCAGAAGATGGTAACTCAGCCACTGGTGAAACTTGAACTTATTGAAGCCTAAAATGTAGCTTCAAAATAGGGGAGTGCACTGCTTATTAGTATTGCGAGACATATTTAAAGGCGAATGTCTACAAATTGTTTGGAATTTTGTCAAATACTGTGTAATATTGGAGTGTTGTATATGATTCTTGCAAAATAAAAAATAAAAACCAGGGATGGGGGGGGGGTGAACTGGTTAAGGAAGAGTTAAAACAGTTTTTGAAAGTGTTGAAAGAAAATTTTCCAACTTGGTTGAAAGCTCAGACAGATAAGTACAGAAGATGACAACTCAGCCACGGGTGGAACTTGAACTTATTGAAGCCTGAAGTGTAGCTTGCAAATAGGGAGTGCACTACTTATTAGTATTACGAGACAAAACTTGTTTGGTATTGTGTGTTTAACCCCCCTTTAAGTTCATTTTGCAGCCAAGGTCTGAACCACCATCATTCTTCAATGTTGCCAAGAAATCGGATCGGATTTTTGCAAAAAACAAGGGATGGGGGTGGTGGGGTTTAGAACTGGTTAAATTTTCCTAGTTGGGTGAAAGCTACAGATAAGTGCAGAAGATGGTAACTCAGCCACAGGTGAAACTTAAACTTATTGAAGCTTCAGTGTAGCTTTGAAACTACACAACTTGTTTGGTATTGTGTCAAATACTGTTTAACCCCTTCCCACCTTAAGTTGACTTTCAAGCCAAGGTCTGAACCACCATCATTTTTCCATGTTGCCAAGAAATTGGATCTGATGCTTGCAAAATAAAAATAAGGGTGGTGGGTAGAACTAGTTAAAGAAGAGTTAAAACAGTTTTTGATAATGTCGAAAGAAAGTTTTCTAAGTGGGGTGAAAGCTCAGACAGATAAGTACAGAAAGTGGTAACGCAGCCACGGGTGAAATTCGAACTTATTGAAGCCTGAAGTGTAGCTTTCAAAATGCACTATTTATTAGTATTAGCATTTAAGGGCAAATGTCTACAACTTGATTCGGTATTGTGTAAAAAACTGTTTAAACCTTCCTTTAAGTTGATTTTCCAGTCACCCATTTTTCGATCTTGGAAAGAAATTGGATGCGACGTTTGTGAAATTTTTATTTTCTTGTGGCTTGGACGTTTCAGACGTGTGTGTTGAGTTTTCAGTTTTCAGATCAAAAATACTGATTGTTATTTTACTGGATAAAATGTTTAAACTTTTTTGTGTTATATTGAAAACGAATATTGTTAATTGTTAATGCTAATTGCACGACAAGAAGTATCGTTACTACAACTATTTGGTTTGGAAACAGTACTTGTATTCAGTATCTGCAACGACTACTTGAAAGTAAACACTTACGCCACCACTAGTTTCAAAACAACAAAAACGGTCAAACATAACTTCTAAATATTTTGGGTCGGTTGAATTGTTACATGACATTTTTGAGACGTCAAAATTTTCCCGGTGTAAAGGCCTTACCGCCAAGATATCCATCGATTACTTCGTGAATTTATTACCAGAGTAGAACCAGCACGATCGGGTTATCACCAATTAGAAATAAAGACTAGTATTTCCGAACTTAGCGGCCCGTGCCATCGGACGGGATACACTACTCCGACGCTCGGAAGGGCGGTGCGCGTTTGAACTAAAACCGCGGGACACTCGAATCGTCCGTTTTCGAAATCACGCAAAACGAACGTTTCTTGTTATATGGGGGGGGGGGGGGGGGTACAAAGCGTCTCCCAGTAGAAAAAAAAACATGCATTTTTTTATTTCGCTAATTTTCGAAAACCGTCCGCGCATCCGCCACCGTCTCTAATCTACTATACAGTATGGCAAAATTCTCAACGCGTCGCCGTCGTACGAGGGCAACTCGACGCACTCGAACCACTCGCGAAACCGACCCGCCCCTGTCCGCCCCACGCCGCTCCCACTGTCACTTTCCGACACGCTGTACTTCCGGAAGTTCTCCTTGTCGAGCCGCTCGTAAATATTAGGCACTACGTTCGCGTACAGACCGTCCACGATGGCGGGTTCCGGCTTCGGACCGCCCCCGCCCTCGTTCCCGTTCACGTTCGGTATGTGGGCGGTGTGGAGGCGGTGCACTTTCGACTCCGACACGTCCCCGAGCCGATATTTGTCGAGGAGGTAAGTTTTGGCGGGACACGACGGGTCCTCCACCACCTCGAACGGAGGACGCTGCTCTGCGGCCTCGTCCTCGTCGACGCAGAAGTCGGGCTTGTTCTCTTTGAGCTGACACGTGCAGGGCGGCCCGTCCGCTTCGTCCTCGTCCAGCAGAACCGACTTGTCCACGGGCGGCAACCGCGACAACGCCTCTTCGACGCTCAACGACCTGCGCACAGATTTTCCGATTAGATAATACTGCTTTCGTGTACTGTAATAGTAAACCTGAAAATGTTGAATTTGAACTATGAATTGTTTTAAAGATTAACTAGCCGGTCGCCAACAGTATGTTTACACGAATAAATATGAGTTCTTTGAGAGGAATAGAGAAGAGAGGGGCTAGTTGACTAAATGTTAATAACTCTTATAATAATCGTTATATGTCAATATTAGGTCAGGCGAGAGCCATATTTCGGGATTTGTAATATAAAACTACAAGCTACCAACAAATATGACTTTATTATTTCTCAAAATATTCATCCTGATGATCAATACACTTTTGCAATCAGTAAAACCAAGCATCAAAGCACTTCTCCCACATCGATTCGGGCACCTCCAAAATGCTTTTTAAAAACATCAATCCCTTCTTCTGGTGTCAAAAATCGTTGCCCACCTAATTTATCCTTAATGTATGGGAATAAAAAGGACTCATTAGATGATAAATCAGGACTATATGGTGATTGGCTCATCAAATCGACGTTTTTAATGCTCAAAGAGTGATTTGTCTTCGGCGATTGATTTTTCTAATTCCTTCGAAGACTTTCGGCAAACAAATGGTTGTGTACCATTCAGAATTGACTGTTTTACCATTCACAAAAGAAACAGTTGCAACGTGGCTAGCTTTCCTGAAAAAACAGGCTACCATTTGTTTCGAAGTGCTTCGCGCACGAACAACTTTTGCGTGCTTTGTCTCATTGTGAAAGACCCACACGATCGACTGCTGCTTACTTTCAGGTTCACATGCATATATCCATGAGTCATTACCTGTTAGGATATCATAGACGTGTTTGGAAGCACCGCGATCGTATTTTTTTAGCATTTCCTTCGACCAATCAACACGAGGCTTTTTTTGAGCTGATGCCAAATTGTGTGGAATCCAACGCGAACAAATCTTTCTAGCGGCCAAATTTTCATGTAAAATTGTATGTATACTGGTCCCACTAATGCCTCAATCGCATGGTAAGGCACATGACGATCCTGCAAAATCAGTTTCCGCACTGCATGAATGTTTTCTTGGTCAACCACCGATTTTGGACGACCTTCATGAAATTTATCCTTAAGAAAACTACGATCACGACTGAAGTCCGAAAACCAGCGTTAAACAGTAGTCCTAGATGGTGCTTTAACTCCAAAAGTCGAATTAAGTTCATCGATGCATTGTTGTTGAGTTAGTCCACATTCAAAGTTCTAATTATAATTAATATTTATATATAATAATTATTGCACGAAAATGCTCCCGAATATTTTTTGAATTTCCACTAAGTTCTGTCCGATTGCTTTTTAATAACATTCTATAGAAGTAACGTTTATGGACTATAGTTTGCTGGATTCTATTTCATTATGATGTAAGGGGCTAGTCGACTAAGCATATGAGAGGTTATTTGATTAACGCCGGCTGCATTTTTTAATTTCCTTTTGAATGTTTCATGTTTGTTGTAGCTTAACAATGAGAAAATACAAGAGGAAGACCGAGAAAGGCAAACTGTTACATGAGATAATGCTGCCGACCGTTAAAATGGTGGTAGATGAAGGCAAATGTGTTAACAGTGTTGCAAAGGACTTTTTAATACCGCAAAAAAAGGTTTTATATAAAACGAGTCTCAGATATTTACTATGGATTAACGTCAAAAAAATTAATCCGGCGACATGGTCCACAAACAAACTGGAAGGTCCAGACTCGTACTCTTCGTTTATTAAGGGGCATACAAGTTTCTCCTTAAGATGTCTACAAGTCACGAGTTTATCACGAGCTACAGCGTTCAACAAAACCACTATAAGCAATCTAAACACTGCACATAACAGATTCAAATTACAAGCAATAGACGGGTATAACCACAATGCAGAAATCCGACAACATAGTTGCTCGACGCGGCTTCAAACAAAAACTCGTTTCAGCAGAAAGAGGAACTCTTGTGACTCTCGCCGTGGCAGTTTCGGCCAGTGGAAATACGGCTCCTTCCTTTTTATATTCCCTCGGGTAAATTTTCTAGGTCATTTTTTAAGAGATGCACCTACTGGAAGATTAGGAGATGCGAGGCCTTTGTTAAATTTAGTTCATCATGTCAGGTATGGCAAGGTTTGCAGGGTTTACTGCTTGACAATCATGATTTCCATTTATCTATACCAGCGTTGGATGTTTGTAAAGAAAAAGAGGTTATAGTTTTATTTCTTCGCCATTGCTCCCATAATCTGCAGCCCTTAGATAGGAGCTTTTATGGACCACTTAAGAAATACTAATAAATAATTTGCTATGGACAACAAGTTGCTTAGCATGCAATGAGCGGTTCAATAAAAGCACTTTTACGGATTGAGTGCAATGCACACACAAATGAACTATTTCTGTCTTGCTATTTCTTCATTACAGGTGTAATATAAGCTCTTTTGAGTCGTTATTTATTCGCACAATACCTGCTAATTGCCTAATTAACCAAAATATTATTTTTTCATAGACAGTACGCCACTGATTTCCTTAAAAAATAATGACATTTGCATTCATTTATGACCATACTTGATTTCTTATTTTTTTTAGTCCTTTGCACGATTTCACTTAAAAATAAAAACTAATTCCTCTGCATGCTGTCATATTACGATATTGGTATGACCATGGCAAATTTTTATTTTTTTAAGCAAAAACCGTACATCGGATTGAAAAAATCAAGAAATTAAATTTCCTTAGAAATGATTGGAGATTTTAAGAACATTTTTTATGTTAAAAGAAATCAGTGGCGCACCACCAATATCTGCCAAAATAGACAGGTGAAATTCCGTACGTGCGTATTTTAAAAAGATTGTGGTATACTAAATAATGCCTCTTGATACATAATACATTCATGCAAATTTCATTAAAATATCTAAAGTGGTATTATAGGTACTAAAAAAATATATGTTATTTTTGAAATTTGCCACCCTCAAAAGTTAAGACGTTTAAGACACATGTTCATATGAAGTTTTCTTTGAGCAATAGATACAAAAATTGGCCCCTCAATTATTGACATTCAATTAGAAAACACCCTATATAGGTAATTACTTATCGAATACGAAATGTTATTTCAAACTTTTTTCTGACATCTTTCTTCGTTTGTGAGATAAAAATAAAAACGATTTTATTGCATTTCTATTCACCATAGAAATATTTTTCAACGGAAAAACTGTTGAAACCGACAATTTTGTGAAAATCAAACAAACTCTGAGAATGAGAAAACCAAAACGTAAGACATAATTATTTTTTCATAAAATGTTCTGAAAATATTGTCGCGTATTCGCTGGTGGATCAATGGACAAAAATTGACATTACTTAGAAACAAATCCTACTATATGTTTGGTGTCGTATAATAAAATCAATTCTAACCCTATAACCATAGACAACAGTTCAAACCTCAGTATTCTGATTGATAATAAAATCACTTTCGAAAAACATGTATTTGGGTATGTATGTATCATGAGAAGACTCAACTACATACACAGCAGTCTCGGTGTTGTCTTCGGCAGCTAAGATTTTTGAACAGCGATTATTTTCATTATACATTAAATAAACATCAAGAAATCTACAGAGTCAGCAATATTTGATAGCATCGCACGTATAACGCAAAAAATTGATAAAGATCTTAAAGTTGCTGTATTTTTATTTGTCCAAAGCCGTTGACACTGGATGCCCATCCTGGAGCAGTAAGGCATTAGAGGAGCCGCGGCACATTTCATGAAATCTGCATGTGTAAATGTTTTATAAAAGGCAGAGGGTACCATAAGGCTCCATTCGGGGACGTTTTTGTATTGTATGTGATTAGCTCAATTTCCACACAACACATCTGTTGTGTCGTCTGACATTTCCAATGATGGTAGTTGGAATGGAGAAATTTCAAATTAAATGCCAAATAAACGGAATTAATGGTCCTTTCTAGAACACCTAACAACACAGTGTGTTTACTGATTCGACTTGACGGGAAGACGATTCCAATGAAGGATCATATAAAATTCCTGAGACTCCATATGAACCCAAACCTAAGTTGGAATTATCGCATCTTCAATCAAGACTAAGCAGTTTATGTGGACTTGTCCGAAAGTGATAGGACAATGTTTCCATGCATTCCAATTCATTACAAGATTGGCGGTCCTCCATGAAGGCATTAGATGTTTTTAAATTACAACAAAATTGAGATCTTATTTGGAGCTTGGTCCGAGGGATTCCTGTCAACCGTTTTTTAGCCAACTTAAAATATTAACAGTTCCATGACTATAGTTCGCCTCATTAGTTATGTTAGCGAGAAAAAAAATATACATTTATTCCCTAAGAACAAAGATTTATATGCTGGTGATATAGACAAGACATAGAGGTGAATTTAAGAATGGAACATACTTTATCGCAATTAAAGTATATAGAATGTTGCTTAGGCTCAACAGAGCACCGAAAAATGTTTCTATACTTTCAACTTTGATTCCTAAAGCTGTTTCTAATTGTTTAAATGTGCTTTTTTAATTATTACTTTAATGCATTTAATTGCATTTTTGAGAGTAGCTTGCGCTGCTTTGTCATATTTTGGTTTAGTGGACAATAAAGAATATTATTATTACTATTATTATATAATCAGATCTATTGTGGCTTTGCATGCTACCAAAACAAGGAGAACAAATTATCTAATTTGTTTATATACTATATATAAAAGTATTGATTCTACTCTACTTTGAAGGAAAATATTCTCTATATTTTTTAAAGTGGTAATAAACATGAGGGAAACTTGAATAAAACGATTTAAAACGTTGTTAAAAGAATATTTATTAAATGAAAGAAAAAAAAGAAGGCCCTTCTTTTTGTCTTAATTTAAAATTTTCTGCAATCACCAGACGTGCGATGAAGGAACTAGCGTTCTATCTAAGAAGTCTGACTCATTCTAAAAACCGATTTGGTTTTTAAAAAGTGGAATAAAAATATTTACACTAAATACATAATAGATT